TTTAACTCAACTTTAACTTAACCTTAACTTAACTTTAACTTAACTTTAACTTAACTTTAACTTAAATTTTAACTTAAATTTAACTTAACTTTAACTTAACTTTAACTTAACTTTAACTTATCTTTAACTTAACTTTAACCTAACTTTAACTTAACTTTAACTTATCTTTAACTTAAATTTAACTTAACTTTAACTGAACTTTAACTTAACTTTAACTTAACTTTAACTTAACTTTAACTGAACTTTAACTTAACTTTAACTTAACTTTAACTTAATTTTAACTTAACTTTAACTTAACTTTAACTTAACTTAACTTTAACCTAACTTTTACTTAACTTTAACTTAACTTTAACTTATCTTTAACTTAACTTTAACTTAACTTTAACTTAACTTTAACTTAACTTTAACTTAACTTTAACTTAATTTTAACTTAATTTAACTCAACTTTAACTCAACTTTAACTTAACTTTAATTTAACTTTAACTTAAATTTAACTTAACTTTAACTTAACTTTAACTTAACTTTAACTTAAATTTAACTTAACTTTAACTTAACTTTAACTTAACTTTAACTTAACTTTAACTTAACTTTAACTTAACTTTAACCTAACTTTAACTTAACTTTAACTTATCTTTAACTTAACTTTAACTTAACTTTAACTGAACTTTAACTTAACTTTAACTTAACTTTAACTTAATTTTAACTTAACTTTAACTTAACTTTAACTTAACTTAACTTTAACCTAACTTTTACTTAACTTTAACTTAACTTTAACTTATCTTTAACTTAACTTTAACTTAACTTTAACTTAACTTTAACTTAACTTTAACTTAACTTTAACTTAACTTAACTTTAGCTTAACTTAACTTAAACTTAACTTTAACTTAACTTTAACTTAATTTTAACTTAACTTTAACTTAACTTTAACCTAACTTTAACTTAAATTTAACTTCACTTTAACTTAACTTTAACTTAAATTTTAACTTAATTTTAACTTAATTTAACTCAACTTTAACTCAACTTTAACTTAACTTTAACTTAACTTTAACTTAACTTTAACTTTAACTTAACTTTAACTTAACTTTAACTTAATTTTAACTTAACTTTAACTCAACTTCAACTTAACTTTAACTTAATTTTAACTTAACTTTAACTTAACATATAATTAACTTTAACTGAACTTTAACTTAACTTTAACTTAAATTTAACTTAACTTAACTTTAACCTAACTTTAACTTAACTTTAACTTAACTTTAACTTAACTTTAACTTAACTTTAACTTAACTTTAACTTAACTTTAACTTAACTTTAACTTAACTTAACTTTAACTTTACTTAACTTTAACTAAACTTTAACTTAACTTTAACATTAACATAATTTTAACTTAACTTTAGTTTTTACATACTTAATTTTAACGTAACTTAAAAATAACCTTAACTTTAACATTTACTTAATTTTAATAAAACTTTTCCTTAACTTTGTAACACAAACTTTACCTTAACCTTTAACATAAACATCGGGATCCGGCATGCGTTGCATCAGTAAGGATGCTTAACTCAGCCGGGTTCCTCCAGCGGATCAATTTTGGAAAATAATTACATCAAAATTGATCCGCTGGAGGAATCCGGATGAGTTGATGCGTTGCAGTTGAGTTAACTTTAATATAATTTTAACATAGCTGTATTATAAGTTTAATTTACCTACACATAACTTTAACTTAATTTTACATTAACTTTAACTTACTTCTCAATCGGGTTCCGGCATCGGATTCTTATCGGAATCCGGCATCGCATTCTCTATTCGAATCCAGCATCTGATGTCCTAATGTTGTAATCCAGCAGGATGTCCTTGAAAAGAAAACAAAATAAAAATTATTGTACATACTGTGCATCACTTACGAAAATCACAAACAGTTCATTTACCACCAAAGGAATTCCTTCGGATGCCGTATTGGGATCCCGCTTCGGATTCCCAATGTCCACGTATGTCCGGATGTCCTGAAAAACAAAATTTTTGAAACATTATTTCACTGTGAATCACAAACACATTACAGTTCACATTTCCATCATTTAAAAAAAATCACATTTTCAACGCGTATCAGGAATGCTGGAATCCAGATTTCTATGAAAATTTATCTTACCTCTTGACACGATTGACGTCTATCCAGCAAAATGTTCAGCTGCACCAACCGATTCTCACTCCCGGAACTGGCCATCGGAGGCAAAATAAAATGTTTCCCGACACGACCCGACCGAACTGACGTGCGAGATTTGTAAAATGGCTGTCAGCGTAATCAGCCGACGCAAAACAAAAACGCAAAAAAATTGCTAAGTTCCATCCGCCATTTGGTCGCCCGGCGGATGAAATTACTCTAACGGGGCGAGTCGCCCTTCGTCTGCATCCCGGAGCGCCATTTGGTCGCCCGGCGGATGAAATTACTCTAGCAGGGCGAGTCGCCCTTCGTCCGCATCCCGGAGCGCCATTTGGTCGCCCGGCGGATGAAATTACTCTAGCGGGGCGAGTCGCCCTTCGTCCGCATCCCGGACAAAGGGCGAACGATCAGTCTTCAAGTCGCTCAATGTCAAATGACGTCACTTTTTCGCCGGCAATTCGTGTGGGCAGGTCAATCCATCGGTTGTGTAATATAACGTTGTACGATGTACATCCATTGGGGCTTCCCTTAGCTCAGTCGGTAAAGGCGCAGCCTCGGGTGCAGCTACAAAGCAAGACCATGTTGGAGGCGGCTGGGTTCGATTCCCGGTCCGGTCTAGGAATTGTTCGGTTTGGAAAATTTCTCGACTTCCCTGGGCATAGAAGTATGATTGGAATTGCCACACAATCATATCAATGCAAAAATGGTACAGGCATCGAAAGCTCTCAATTAATAACTGTGGAAGTGCATCTAGAGCACTAAGTTTGAGAGCACGCCATAAGCTAATATGCGATATGCAATAAGATTAAAATGCGAAGAAGAAGAAGAAGATGATGTAATATTGTCGGTGTATAATAAGCATAATAAGTCACGCCAAGAGTGAAGCCAAGTCTACCTATTGAACTGTCAAACCGGCTACCTATCGTGCAAAGTAAACAAACATTACGGTGCTATGAAAGGTCGACGAAAGGTATTGCAATAAAATATAAAATATAATTGAAGAAATAATCATAAACACGCAGTGAACATTAAATTGTCATGGCATACGTTTGATAATGATCAGTAATGAAAATTTCTACTATTTTTTGATAATATAATTTGACAAAATCACTGATATAATGATTCACTACATCCGCTATTTCTCGCTAGAAGTCATTTGAAGTTGATGTAGAAGTTCTCTGTTGCCAAGCGAAAAGAAAGGGAATCTTTCGAAGACCGTGATGCGAGTTCATCTGTTTTTCTCTTGGCGTGACTCATTACACCGACTCTAGATTTTCCTATGTTTCGAGGGGTGAATCGATTAGCTTGGGACCGAAGATAGTACCAGAGCTGAGCCAAAAAGTTGAGCACGTTTCTTCGGGACATACTAGTCTTAGAGTTACCTCTATGGAACTACACTTGCGGAGTCCGTAAATACGGCTATCGGCTTGTTTGAGGGAGTGGTAGCAGCAATAAAAGCGGAGACCGCTTCTACCGAGGATATAGTGTACTTGTCTGGAAGTCGATGAAGTACGGACAATTGGGGGCCCGTGATACCGATGCCAACCCCGTCACGGGAAACAGATCCATGGGAGTAACGGATAGTGTGGTTCTCTGGAGTTCCGCGACGGATCTCATAAGTGCCGTAGAGTTAGATCCTGCCTTGAACTTCTTCTTTATCGCCAAGTCGATAATGCACCCGGACAGGTTCCAATCTCTGGCTCCACACCAATGTATGCTAGATACCGGGGGAGTGGAGCGGCTAGAAAACTTTGGTGACGAACCTACTATCGCAATTTTTCAGGGTACCTACTACATGCTAATACTAACGGTAGCAGAGAAGTCTATTATTAATTGATTGTTTCCTATCGTAGTGTAACAATTAAATCAATAGTATTTTTAAAATATTTTTATTCGGGCGGTCGATTAATCGAATCTTGCAAAATAAAATATTCAAATGAATAGATTATAAAATATCTTACCGATTAAGCCTAGTATACAGATCGAAGCGAAACGAAAATTGAAGCACGCGAAAAATCATTAAATTTCGCTAGCGAAAAAGGTTGTGAAAAAATGTGTGTGGATCATTTTCCAGTTTCCTTTTTTCGCAGTTTACAGTTCATGTGAAACGAAATCGATCAGTTTACACCTCCGGTGAAGTGAAAATCTGACAGATACGCTCTCCCGAAACGTCAACTTTTCGCTTAGCTGCTGCTCTTCGCGAGCGCTGCATGCGCGAAAAAAAACTAAACGTAAGCGAAAAAGATGCGATCCACAACATTAGATTTCGCTGGATCGTATCTGTTTACAGTTCAAAGCGAAGCGAAATATTTGCCAATTGCATTTTTCGCGCAGGTGAAAAATGTACACGCTATTTCAAAACTACCCAAATTTGGGTAGAATCCACCCAGATCCGTCAAAACTGAACCTACCCAAAAATGGGTAAACTGTGTTGGGAGTGACAAGTTGACAAATGGACAACGTCGATCGGATTGATGTCAATGTTGTTCATTTGTCAACTTGTCACTCCCAACACAGTTTGCCCATTTTTGGGTAGGTTCAGTTTTGACGGATCTGGGTGGATTCTACCCAAATTTGGGTAGTTTTGAAATAGCGTGTATAGTATTTTGTATATGAGATTTTCGCTTCGCTTCGATCTCTATACAGGCCTTTAATCGTTTATTGATTACAATAAAATTTTACGACATCCCTAGGTGTCGGTTTGTCGCCGAAGCGGCGAAAATTTTAGTTCATCAAACCTTTGCATTTGAAAAACCTTGCTCACCCGGGAAACAGGCGGAGCAAAACAAAATCGAAAACAATTACAAAAAATTTAAAATTGACACCATCAACAATCCGAAAAATTGTGAATAATTTTTTGTTGTACAGGTTGCAATCAATCTCACCCTGCGTAAAAGGCAAAGGTGAAAATGCTGCAGCAAGAACAGCTACTGAAAGTGGACCGGCCTTGTCCGGATCCGGATCCGAAGGTGGCGACCGAAGCGACACCGCCACCGCCCAACACGTACCAAATACGGCCGACCTTGGAGCAAACGTTCATGTCGGAAAAAATCAAGCAGATTATCAATACGGTCCTCAGCGATACGCTCACTGGTAAGATAAATTATTGAGCTAAATTAGTTAAATACAATCTGAAGCTTTCGACGAAATCGTATATTATAGGACAATCCTATACCGCCGTGGATGCTGCTCGCTGGACCAAAACGCTGGCAGATGAAATCAGCCTGAAGGTGAAGGATCTAGAAATGAAACGATACAAGCACGTGGTCCAGGTTGTGCTCGGTCAGCAACTCGGTGCCGGCTGCAAGTACATCGCCCGATGTCGGTGGGATGCCGAATGTGATAATCAAATGTCTGGAGAGTTCAAGAATGCCACCATATTCTGTATTGTTACCGTTTTCGGACTGTATCTGTATTGAGCTCAATTGAATCAATGAAGTGCGTTTAATGTGTGTGATCTTATCTTTAAATAAGTAGCTTTTCTAAGCTTGCATGTAGAATAAGTTAGCTTTTGAGAACCGAAATCGATTGTATTAGTGTAGGCACCAGCTTCGAATAAAGCACCAATTAAGAAGCACTGGAATTCAATAAGTCATTAACCGATCATGAACATTTCGGGTACATTGGTTGGCGACGGGCATCCAGTCTTTATCATAGCAGAGATCGGACAAAACCATCAAGGATCATTGGAAATCGCCAAGCAGATGATCCTGAAGGCAAAGGTACCATCAATATACCTACTTCCACTTTTATGCTTCCTAAATGTGAAAACATCTTTACCATCAGGAGCTGGGCGTTGATTGTGTCAAGTTTCAGAAATCTTGCCTCCAAGCCAAGTTTACTGTAAAAGCCTTGGAAAGGCAATACACTGGGCCCCATTCCTGGGGAACAACCTACGGCGAACACAAATCGTATCTGGAATTCTCGATCGACGACTACCGTTCTTTGCAGCAATTTTGCTCTGAAATCGGAATCCTCTTCACTGCCTCGGCCATGGATCCGATATCTTTTCAACAACTCATCCAATTGAAAGTACCGTTCGTGAAAATCGGTTCCGGCGATGCCGACAATCTGCCCATGCTGAGACAAGCCGCCCTTGCCGACAACATTCCGCTAATCGTTTCAACCGGGATGCAATCGTGGAACCAAGTGCAACAGATTCATCAAATCCTCCGTGAAAATTCGACTGCTCTGCTCCATTGTATTTCCGCTTATCCAACGCCACCGGAAGAAGCATGTCTGAATCTGATTCCGCTGTACAAAGAACATTTTCCGGAACTCCTTATCGGCTACTCTGGGCACGAGTTGGGTCTGCAAATCACGGTGGCTTCCATACTGCTGGGAGCACGAATAGTCGAACGTCATTTCACGCTGGATAAAGGCTGGAAGGGAACGGATCACAAAGCGTCCCTCAATCCAGCAGAATTCGGTAGATTGGTTAAGTACATTCGTATGGTTGAGAATGTCAAATGTGCTCGTGCCGACGTGCCAAAAATGCTGTCCGAAGTGTTGCAAGACGATGATTTTAACCGGGAAGAACTCGCACGTGCCTTGAAACCCGTTACCGTGGATGATCGGAAGCTGATGACATCGGAGATTGCTTGTCATAGCAAGTTGGGGAAATCACTCGTTTTCGGTAGCAACGTAGAAGCGGGACATGCACTGGAATGGACTGACGTGGCCGTGAAGGTCAGTGAACCACGCGGTCTATCGCCGACCTGGTTCGATAGGATTGTGGGAAGGACGGTTGTCCATCCCCATAGGATGGATGAGCCGATTGTGGCGGAAGATCTGGTTCCTGTATAGTGGAACGTTGTAGTGTTTTCAACCGCAAATTTAATTAAATAAATTAGAGCAATGCGCATACTCAACATTCAACGGAACCATAAATGTGTGGTGAGACTCTTAGACTACCCGCCCAATTCGTTAGTTTTGGGACAATAACTATTCTAACATATAAAAATATAAGAATCAACTTCTTCTTTTAAGAGTCAGTACTAAGCGAATATGCCGATAATTCGAATGCCATGGTTCACCTTCTTTTGTTTGTAGCATAACTGACTGAATAGAATATTGGAGGTTTGCAATGTTCTGCAGAGTTATTCATCCTAAAAATGCTTCATAAAGATAAACAAGCATATTCAGACAATCGGTTTTCAAGGGGAAATTCACATGAAATCCAAAAATGAAAATATCTTGTGAAACCTTTCATTTTCTCCATTAACGGGTGGAAACATAATTTATTGATAATAACAGTCACAGGGACACAGTGAGAGCAATCCCTAATCTATCTTCATTTCTAAACTAGTTTAAATGCATCTGTTCAAGAAATGCTGCTATTATCCTGTGAGGAATCGTTCGGATACTCAACATAACACGAGAAGGCTAGCTGCGGCTGATATTTGCTGTTTGTCTATTGAAACAAAGTACAATAAAATTAGGTCCTTAATCTTTGTAACACTTGTTTGACAGAAACAGTAAAACTAACCTGAGGGTTAGCAGGACAAAAAAAAACTTGCTTTCTACTATTATAGTTACGATGCCTTGTCCACTCTACAGCCACTCAAAAAAGTGTAGGTACCTCAAATATAGAATAAATGTGTGTTCTTCTCCGTTCCAATCAACTGTGGCTCGAAATGCATTCTTTTTTGTTTCTTAGCGATCTGCTAGAAATGTTTCTCGCTCACACGCTCATACAAATCAGAATCATTAACGGGAAACAAGACCTTCGAAAAACAAAAACGAAGGGCCAGCACGCACACGCACACGGACAAAAATACTTACTCGTTTCTCTATCTCTCACAACTAACTTATCACATTGCGGCATAGTCGAGCTGGATATTGATTTGCCGTACACCGATCGCCTCGAAGATCATGCGCGTGTGCTGTACCACATAGCGAGGGTCGACGTTCTTGGAGACCTCCAGTTTGATAACTCCTACATAGACATCACTACACAGAGTCCAAAAGTGAGGTTCCTGAACGCTGTAGACGCCTGCCAGTCCCGTAACCTTCTGGTAGCATTGTGACAGTAAGCGATCCAAGCCCACCGGCTGGCGCTGCATCAGAACCATTACCGATTCTTTGATCAAGGAAAGGGTACTCAGGCCAATCATCAGTGCAATGAAGATACTACAGATTGGATCCGCCCGCATCCAACCAAACAGCTGCATCAGAACTGCCGAAATGATAACACCAACCGAACCCAGCGTATCGGCCAAAATGTGCAGGAAGACTCCACGCATAATTTGCGAATTGTTTGATGCGATCTGTTGCTCCATGTTGATCGATGCAGTGCCATGACTGTGTCCATGGTTGTCCTCGCCGTGGCTGTGTCCATGATTATTATGATTTGCCAACAGATGATTTGTATCGCTGTGACCACCATGCGAATGCCCATGTCCACCTCCGCCGTGACTGTGACCTCCATGACTGTGACCATGCCCTCCATGCTGGAATGCATAAATACCGACCAGATTGACTAACAATCCCAGTACTGACACCACAAACAAACGCTCATGTTTGACCTCTGGCGGTTCAATCGCACGTTCCACTGCCTCGGACATGATGAAAAATGCAATGAACAACAGGAACAAACTGTTGACGAAACCGGCCAGCACTTCCGCTCGGACATAACCGTACGAGTATTTGTCGTTGGCTTTCCATTTGGTAATGATCGATGCGGCCAACCCGGCTAGTAATCCGGTACAATCAAAGAACATATGGAATGAGTCGGAAATCAGACCTGAAAACAAAAGGAGCACGATAAAACTTGAATCAACCGGTTTCCTTCGCATTCCACCCACCTAAACTGTTGGTCCATATTCCATACATCAACTCAACGAAAGCGAAGCTCAAGTTGAGCAGCAAAAACAGCAACAGATTCCTCGAGTTCCGATCGGAAAAGATCAATCTCGTTAGGCTGTTCAGCTTCTCCCGCACCTTGTACGTGAAGCCACGGGAGTCTTTGTGTGTCAGCGGAAGCATCTTCAATTAGCTTATTTAAAGTCGTCTCTTGTGTCTAACTCGAACCTAAAATCTTTTTCAATCTCGCTTTCCAATCCTTTATTTGCGGGAAAGAAGAAAACTCGGTTCAATCACACGTTTCTCGTTCCGGACCTGTAACGATAAGACACATCCATCATCATCGCGTTATCAACCAACTATAAATTCAATGCGGAACTCTGGCGAAAGATAAACAAATTAAACATGTTTTTAGGTCGTCGCCGATTCTTGCATACGTGTTCCATCAGACGAAGATCTATACCGCATCAAGAGAATCTACGTTTTGCGGAAAAAAAAAACTGAAAATCAGTGTTCTAAATTACCTGAAAGTCGCACAGTGCGTAGTAGCGCAAACTTTAACAACTATTTGGACTCCATTTAACCGGTATTTTTTTAGTTAAACCAAAAACAGCTCCATTATTCGCAAAGGAAAATGGAAATTTCCAAAAACTTTTCGGCAGTCTGATGTTGATGATTCGTTCGTCGTCACCTTTTCGCGAACGCCGCGATGACAGATGATTCTGGCAGATGTGCTGTCAAAAGTTGCGTTTTTTAATTTTTTTTTTCCTCTGCACGGACTCGAATGCGTTTTTAGACTGCCCTGTGGTTTTGCACCACAGTGAGATCCCACACTGAAACAAAAGGTCGTATATGAATAAAAGCGTTTACTTTACTTTTCCCGTAAGAAAAGCGCGGGAGAGTAAAGTCAACCCGCATAAACAATAACCATAAGGTGCGCCTACCCTAATAAACGGATACCATACACTAACGATATCATGGATGGTGCGACCATACCACATAAAGTTGGGATGATAACCCGAATTGGTGGTTAGGCGCTTCTTATGGTTATTGTTTATGCGGGTAACCACCAATTCGGGATATAATTCTAACTTTATGTGGTACGGTCGTACCATCTATGGTATCGTTAGTGTATGGTACACGTTTATTAGGGAACTCTTTTTATTCATACGGCCCAAGGACCATAGTTATGAATACTATTTTGTAGAAAACACTTATATTCAATATAATCGTGATACAACCCAACTCTTCAAACATTTGACAGAGCTCTTAAGCAGGGGCAGTTAATAATGCCCCGGACAGACTATGGCTTATATCATGTAATATAGGCTGGCTTGCAATGAGCACTCATACATAGGATTTCCAGTGAAAACTAGATGTATGAGTGCTCATTGCAAGACAGCCTATATTACATGATATAAGCCATACACGGATAGAAATCTCCTTATACCTTTTGGCAAATTTCTATTGCTGATTATTCATAAAATGTATAAGTCAACTAATAAGCAGACGCCTTGCAAAAAGTTAATGAAGCTCATGTGTCAAATGAAATGTATAAGCGGTTACACATACCTTTTATGCATTCTTGTAGGACCTATGTGGTTTTTCTTATAGAATGTATAAGGCTGATGCTTTGGCAAAAATGTATAAGTGAAACACATGAATAAAATAATTGATTTTCGTTTCGTGTAGTCTGTACGGGGTATAAGATTATAGTTAAATCAAGTGTTAAATGGAATCTGTACTTCATCCGAGTGTGCACAAGTTGTCATTGCCTCTCGTGAAATGGTGAAATATACCCAGCTTATCCGTTATATACGAATGTCCTAGGGGCATCCCACTCTAAACTTTGTATTTCCCGAGGTATTTCCCTCATATACAAATAAAGTTCTTAGTGATATCTAAGATACTTGAAAATACCTAAAAATACTTAAGAAATATCTAGCGTTAGTTTATTTGTTTGGTTGCTATACCGATTTAATTTGTTTATTTATCCAAGTCAGAAGGCTTGTGTGGATATTGGTGAATTTGTTATGGAATTAGCATTAATTTTATTGAGAGAGTGAGCAGAGCAGCTGTATGTCACGAACCGTTTCCGGTGTAATCTGTTCGATCGGAACCAGAAAGAATTCATTCTGATCTGAAAGACATGAGAACCTTTTGTTGGTTACTCGTTCGGTTTGATTTCTATCATTTGTATTCCTTATCTCCATGTAAGTATTGTGTTATAATCGGGAATATATTTTTACTTTTCATCCGCTAGGCTTTTGCCCGTCAAACGATAACTACGGGTATATAGCCTAAGCAAAATCGGAAGTGGTAAAACCTTTCACACCATACTATGATGCGGACCCGGATCTCGTAGCTTCTCACCTTCTAAATGTAGAATATGTTAATTACAGAAGATAAAAAATCATCAAGGCTGTTTACCTGGATACCATCGAAGCAAGATATCTTCTTTGAACCAAAGGTGGAGCGTGTTTGAAACTAATTTTAATCATTTTTAGTTTTCAGCACAGCTCTCTTTATAACTTTCCAGGAGGATATGGTTTATATCCTATATCGATTTTGAGCTCCATACTCTCGTTGCATGATCTGGTGATTAACTAATTAAAGAGCCATTCAAAGCAATAGTTGGAGTATAATGGTCCAACGATAAAATTAAACAATTATGGGACTGATTAAAATAGTCGTATTTAACTTTTAGGATTTCCTACGTAGAATAGAAACAAGCAATACAATGTATAAATGTAATAGATATTAGAATTTTAATAGAAAATTTTCGTTAATTGAGAAACTCGATAGATTGATAAACTTTATTTTTGCTTTCGATCAGACGTTTTGACCCTCCTGACCCAATCCTCCAGTACCCATTCGCTTGGTCATCTTGGTTTCCTTAGGAATATTCTGTGACACGATTTTCTCGGCATCTTGAGCTTACTTTTAGTTCCTCATCTGTACTGAGAAAAAAACTACTTAGTCAGATGATTCGCTGCTAGGAAGGTAGGGGTAGTATCGATTTGTGGAAATATATATTCATCAGTAGGATCTTTGTCCATCGAAGGGGTTTATGTGAGCCAATGAACAATCTGTATTCTCTCGATCATTAGACACATCATAATTTACACTCGGGTGCATCTCATGCCAACAATAGCAAAACATCGTTTTTTGTAGCTAAGTCGATCTTGACCTTTGCATTTGAATGGCTTAAAAAAATGAGTTTTCATATGAATTTGAATAAAATGTAATACACGGCGAACGACTCGATATAAAAAAAGACAACAACAAACCTCTACACTAGCAATACGTCATAAAAACAAGTGTTACTTCGATGAAAATATAATCTTAGTTAAAAATACTTAAAAATACTTACGATACTTACGAGGAATTTAAAAATATTTAATTGATATTAGGTCTAAAGTTTGATGTGAGATGCCCCTAGCGAATGTCCAACGTTGCCAAAGGACCACGAGCCTATAATGTACCCGGATGCAACCATTGCAGTAAGCGAGGCAGTAAGTGTTAATACCTCCAAATCGAAATGAAAGTAAAAAACGCAGCACCAACCATACAAATATGCTGTCTGCTTCTAGGTCTGCACCGTGAGGATGACGATGCGAAGATGAGGAAACCCAAAGGATGAGCTCAGTTTTCACATCACCCGAGAATAGACGAGTGCACGGGTGAACTTTTGTTCATCTACTGAAAAAAAATTGACACAACAGCGGGGCCCTGTTTACTAAAAATGAACACATGAATAATGCTCCAGTAACTTTTGAAAAGGGCCTATCAACTTTTGTAAACAACTTCCTAGGTCCTTTTCACGAGAACCGAAGTACGCCCATACAAACCAAGAGCACTATTGGGAAGGGGGGAATTTCCCCTACCCGCACACTAATCAAGCATTTAGTTGCTCGGTATTTTTTTGTACTGGGCTTGCACGGTAAAACCACAGACAAACAGACATAACACTCGCAAGTTGTTGATCGAACAAGCATTTAACCACAGACAAACAGACGTAACTCTTCATTGTGTATCTTCGTTCATGCATTTAACGGTTGATTTGAATATTATCAGTTCCGCGAACTACTCGCCGCAGCGCTGGCATCGGATCACTTTGACGTTTCTATACATTCTATAAAACTTTTATGCAATATTGTTTACGAGCTAGCGAGCAAGCTTGTTTTCCGCGAGAAGCCAGATAGATGTCGTTACTGAGGTTATTTGTTTTGAGATACTATGTTTTCAAGAACAAGTTTTTCAAAGAGTTACGTCTGTTTGTCTGTGATTTAACGAACAATTTAAAAGTATTGTAGTTGGTAGTACCGCCACCTGTGGCGCGCATACTCAATTCCCTTGCGTTTGATGTTTACACACTACCGTTATCTGTTCAGCGTAGTGCCCACCACAATGTACTCTACAGATGGCGGTAATGTTTTAGCGACGATGTTTTACAGTGAGAAATATTCAATGCGTTATGTCTGTTTGTCTGTGGTAAAACGAAAGATTTGCTGAAAATTCAGTTTAAATCTGGTGAATAACCGACGTTCTGTAAAACACAAACTGAACTTCGGTATCGTTTGATGCAAAATACTGTACACAGAATATATATTTACTGAGAAAGTCGTTAATTCCCAAATTTTTGAGATTTCACGAAAAGTCAGTAAAAATAATGACTGTGCACAAAGAAGTCTTATTTTTTTACCGACTGGTCAGAAAAATAGCCACTGTTTTACTGACCACGAATTGTAAAACTCTAACCTGTCAATTTTATTCCCACCGCCATTTAGCTTCAGTAAAATCCGGGAGCAAGTGTTTTATCGCGCAGTTTTGTGAAAATTTGCAATTAAACATGAACGACGGAAAGTATTGATGGGGGTTGGAAATAAATGCAATAAATGGTTTTCCTCCCGGGTATCTTATTATTATTAAAATTAAATAGTTTTTTTTCTCCTGACAAAACTTTTAATATAACTGGGTAACACGGTACAAGAATGAACAAAATAACTGCCTTGTCAGTTAAATTGCAGCAAAATAAACGAAAAAAAATACTGGGTTTTTCAGTATACGCAGCTCGAACCAATTACTGAATGAACAGTTACTTTTGACAGATTGACTTTACGGACAGTTCGGTGATGCAAATTTTTGCTGTGATGATTACTGGGCGATCCGCAATTCAAAAACCCAGTAAAATTTTACTGACTCCAGTAATCTAAAGTTAGTGTGCGATGGTGTTGTTAGTTTGCGTGAGCGTATTCGGTTCGCACGAAAAGGGCTTAACAAGTTTTGTGTACAAAAGTTGATAGGCCCGTTTCAAATGTTACGCGAGTATTATTCATGTGTTCATTTTTAGTAAACAGGGCCCCGCTGTTGTGTCACTTTTTGTCGAGTGAGTGAACTCAAATCCATCCGTGCACTCGTCTATGCTAATGAACATATACCGTTTCCATACACACAGCAAAACAAAACTACCCACCGCTTGGGTTTTTTAAACTCAAATTTGAGTTATTTGACCTCTGCCCGTTTCATTTCCTCTCGCTATTGTTGTCAAAAATAGAACGAAAGATTCGACTCAACCGTCTAGTTCCGTACGAGAAGCCAAAATTGAGTAATATGCGATATACCCAAATATGAGTTAATTGAACTTAATTTTGGGTAGAAAAAATTGAAAATA